AGAGAGAGAGAGAGAGAGAGAGAGAGAGAGAGAGAGAGAGAGGAGAGAGAGAGAGAGATACACTCACTGTGGCTGTTACGGGTACAGCACGAGTCTTCGATTTGGGTACCTAAACATGGTCATGCACGGTCAGGCCTCGCTGCCTCTCTGTCTGAACCCCTCTCGCAACCTCTGCTGCCACCTAGTGCTCTTCCAAGAACCAGCACCAGCGGCCCCTTCTCTGGAAATTTTTTCCTGACCATGTCAACCCCCCAAGAGATTCCTGTGCCTCCCCAGCCCTTCATGCCTTTTACCATCAATGTCTGTCCTCCCCTCCAATCCAAGCTTCCTTGAGGGCAGGGCCCAGGTCTGATTCACCTTGAACAACACAGTCTTCAGCATCAGGCCTAGCACACCTGAAGTCTAGGAAATGTTTGTTTAAGTAATGAGTGGGTGAGTGGGTGAGCGCTGAGTGAGTGGGTGGCTATACAAGAGAACCGTGAGTAAAGTCGTGACAGCAGGAAGTGATGAACGGAGGGATCCGCAGGACAGGCAAGGAAGATAGAATCGATGGGTGCATTTCTGAGGTTGCGCATCCCTGAACTCAGTTTCTTCTACGGTGTCCTCCCTCGTCTCCTCCGCCGCAAGTCAAGTCCAGAACCCCGGTAGTGGGCCTTCTGGAAAGGACTTACCTGAACCAACCAGAAGAGCTGGTTTGCTTGGGAACCCCTTGGGCCTGTAGCCGAACCGACCCAACCCGATCCCTACCAGATAGATTCCCTGTCTATTGGCCGAAACTAGCGGAGAATGACGTCTTTCAGAGCCTATTCCTGTCCGACGAGAGCTGAAGCCACGCCCATTCAAGAACGTAGGGCGCGTCAGATCTCCTCTGGAGAGAGCTCAGACTGCTGAGGGCGTGGTTGAAATGGCCAAGAATAGGGTTTATGGCCTCTGGTACCTGGGTGTTTCTAGGCGGTCTATTTCTTTTCTTCTTCCCCTCCCTCTTCTTTTTCCCAGTACTGGGGATTGAACCCAGGGCTTTCCGTAGGTTAAACAAGGTCTCTACTACCGGGCACTGAGCCTCAATCCTTCTTCATTTTGAGACAATGTCCCGTTAAGTTGTGCAGACTGGCCTTGAACTCCCTATATTACCCAGAGTGGGCTCTGGTATTTGCCTCAGCCTCCAGAGCATTTAGGATTACAGACCTGCATCATACCCAGTAGCCCTTGGGTTTTGGTGAAAAAAAGCCACAGTCACTGATCCTAAAGGAGCAAGGGCACTTAGGACCCCAGAGGGGAAAAATTAGTGGTCAAGATTCTTGTGTCTGAGGGTCCAAAGAATTAGGAACTTAAAAGATTGAGGTCCAGGAATTTGAACTCTGGGACCCCATGAGTCACTCTGGTTCACCTGTCCTGGATGACAGATCTGGGGTTCAGGATTTTATGAGGCTATTTGTGGGATTGGGGCCATGCCTCGCCCCCAGGCAAGATTTTTGAGTCCTGAGGTGGAGTGCCTACTAGAGGGGAAGGTGGGAGGTGGGAGGCGGTCTCTGGCCTGGGTGTCCTTGGTACCTGCGTCCCTACCAAGAAAGCCAGGGGCAGAGCTTCCTGCAAAAGGAACCCAGAATGGGAGGAGACTTGAGGATAACACAGAGACAAGGAAAAAGGAAAACAAACAAAGATACCAAAGGAGAGATAAAAATAATAAATCAATAATAACAGTTCTCTTGTCCTGAGTTTACTGTGGCCTGGGCTCTGTACCAAAGCATTTTCACACAATTATTCCGTGTTTTCCTCACAGTCCTAAGCAATTGGAGGTTATTAGCATTGTCATTATTATTATTATCCCTGTTTTACAAGTGAGAAAATTGAAGTCCAGTACAGGACAATCAAGATAGAGAGATAAGGAGGGAAAAGATACCGATGTAAAGAGAACACACACAGATGAAAACAAGATTAACAGATAAAGCAGTCAAGAATAAAAAGAGGAAAATACCTACCGTAAACAAAAGGAGCTGGACCTCCAGCACGTGGTGGCAACACATTGCAGGAGACTAGGACTCAAGGGATTTAGGGCCAAAAGATGAGAACTTCCGGGCATTTTTCTTCCCTGACTCTGTGCCTTCAGCTTTATCCAAGCCTTCGTGATGGGTGCTGAGCCAAGTTGGGGTCAAAAACAGTGATTAAGAAGAACCAAATATGTCATTATACCAGCAAGAGATGATAAGAAAATGATTCACGGGGGTATCCCAGTCTGGGAGTGACCTCTGCGTCACACACAGCCTCTGCTCTTTAATTTGGATAGATCATGCTTCAGGGAGGACTGGGGACAGGCCCGCCCTCTCCCAATCTCTCTCCATCACTTAGAACTGCTGCTATAACACTTCATGAACACAGGTGGGTCTCCCTGGGGGCAGGAAGTCCTGATGGACTTCCCTCCAGACCTTGAACACTTGTACCTTAGAGACCTCAACACACGTCAGAGGCTCCATAAATGATGGATGGATGGATGGACGGATGGATGGATGGATGGATGGACGGACAGATGGATGATATCCACATCTCTCCAAGAAGCTCTTCCCCGCGCTGCCATTACCCTCCGTGTTGCTGTCACAGTCTCCCTGGCCCACACCATCTCCTCTAACCCTTCCCTTTCTCCTGTATCTCTCCACAAGCCACTGGGTCAAGCAGCCTCAGTAAACAGAAGCTGAAGCCCATTTGGAGAACTCTCAGCTTCCCAAAATTCCCAGGGACTGAAAGAAGTGTTCTCAAGACTCCCACTTCAGGCACACTCCCAGCACCTCAGTCGGAGACGCAAGATCATACCAAATGTGAGCCCTCCCAATAGAAGTCAGGTGTGAGCTTACGATGTCGGCACCCACAGAACACACATCACATCCTACGAGCACAAACAAGAAACAACCACAGAGTCACCTGCACTGACGGAAATATCCTCCTAACCCAGGCAAGATAGACGCCCCAGCAGTACAATTACATGATCAGCAACTGATAAGCCCGCTGGCTGGAAGGAGCATGAGCAAGAGACTGGGTTTTGTTCCTTGTGTCCAGAACAACAGGCTGAACACATAAGCATCACGGT